GGAGCTATTACTGCTGGAATGCTAACGGAGCTATTACTGCTGGAATTCTAACGGAGCTATTACTGCTGGAATGCTAACGGAGCCGGATCACCGGTACTGAATGGTTAAACACAGTTGAACAGCAGAGCCTCATTCACTGGAATCGATTCCAAATGCTCAAAAATTTGAGTTGGACTTTCTTGAACATAGTGAATTAAAAGTTAAACTGAAATAAATGTAAAGCAAAAGAAGAAGAAGAATGTATTATATACAGCTCTGAAAAAAATGAACTGCTGCACTGAAAACCGCCTGGTTATTCACCAAATATTGATTCCTGAATTTAAACATTAGTTTTGTTGTTTTTAAATTAATATAAAATGTTTTCTTTGCATTATTTGAGGCCTGAAAGCGCTGCATCTGTTTCAATATTTTCACCATTTCTCATTTTCTGCAAATAATAAATTTTTGCTTTTAATTTTGGAACATATTGTCAGTAGTTCATGGCATAAAATGTTCATTTTATTGAGACATAAAGAGTAAAATATGATCATTTCAACTGATCTCTGGGTATGAACTCATCTTTACATTCACTACATCATCTAATAATTTATTATTCCTGTTAATTTAGTTTGAACTTTTCTCTATATATCTATACTTAGAACAGTGCATTAACATCTGCAAGCCTTCATATCAAATAAATGTTAAAATGCGTTTAAGTTGAAGATGTTAACATCTTGTTTGCTTCGCCCTCCTGATCTATTTTATGTATCGAATTATCCGTTGATAATTTTTCATTTACATAAAAGTCAGGCAGATAAGCCAATATTGGTAATTTAAGTTACAGAGTTTTATGTAAAACCTATTTTTGTTTCAATATAAACTGATTTAAAATAAACTGATACATTATGGAACCTAATAAAATAGTTTAAAATAAATGTTTCTGAAGCTTTTTCTCTCAGTCAGAATTTATTCAGAATCTCTGAACTATTTCAATAAAACAATTATTTCTGAATTAAAAATTGTTTTTGAATCGAATTGTGGCCCTGAAATCAGAATAAATTCATCAAACACTGAAATATTCTGTAACATTCACCAATAAACTGATATATTGATATACTGATTGGCAGCAGTTTGCTGGAATCAAACCCACAACCTTCAGATGGTTTATGGTTTCTCTGCCTGGACCAGCTGAACATGAAGCTGTGAATAATTATACAGACAAACGGCGAAAATACCAAAAACCTACAAGCACAAATCTGAAAAGTGTGGCGTGTTTCTGAAAGGCGGCTTCAGACTTTACCTAGTTGGTGAAAATAATCAACCTGAGTTACATTTCATCAGATTTGATTTAATTTAACGCAGTTTTTCAGTTAAAAGTGTTTCATTAGTAACATTAAAATTACTGAATATTTTCTACTCTAAATGTAAACGGACAGAAACCAAACCTTCATCAGCGCCGCGGCAGCCTTGATGCTCATGACGGCCACGGACTCCCGCTTGCGTCGCCGTGGCAACCTGTTGAGGGCGGAGCGTGAGCTGGAGAAGGAGCAGAGGGAGGCGGAGCCTGGGGTGAGCGGCGTCTGAGGGGCGCCAGGTCCGTCCAGGTCATCCCCCATCCGGAAGGCCCGACCGCGAGCCAAGGGGTCCACGACCTGCACACACACACACACACATTAAACACACACACACACACATTAAACACACACATTAAACACACACACACACACTAAACACACACATTAAACACACACACATTAAACACACACATTAAACACACACACACACACATACATTAAACACACACATTAAACACACACACACACATTAAACACACACACACACACACATTAAACACACACATTAAACACACACACATACATACACACACACACGCACATTAAACACACACACATACATACACACACACATTAAACACATACACACACACATTAAACACACACATCAAACGGCGTTGCGGCGGGGTTATTTGGGAATTTAAAAGTTGTGAAGTTTGAATATTTAAATGGAAAAGGAAATTCACCATCAGCTCATCAGGCATGGTCTAGTCCAAGTATCACGTTTGTAAAACCTTCAGCCCATTAGTGGAAACATTTCTGCTAATCAGCTTCCTTTTTAAAGTCAAACTATTTCTGTTTTTTCTTCAGTCCTGAACCAGTCGAACCCAGCAGGTCCGCTGGGGACTGAGGTGTCCAACATGCGGCGCGGGGGCCGTTTGGGGCCCTCCATTATAATTTAAGAATGGACTAATTTAGTTTGCCGGATCAGACACGAAAAACTAATTAAAACACGAAGAGGAACAAAGAGTTTATCTTTATCTGTCATGTTTTTGTTTTTAATTACATTTCATAGTAACTAAAAGCTAAAAGAATGTAAATTATCACGTTAATTTTGACAGCCCTAGAAAAATTTTAATTCTTTTTGCACTTTATTGAAAAATGAAGAAAGGAAAGCGTTGTGTCATTTGAACTTGAAGTTTCTTTAGTCGAAACGTTTTTACACCGAGAACCGAAAATGTGATGAGAAATGAAGAAACGAAGGGAGAGAAAAGGGAATCCTTCTCCAGGTTCTTCCTGCGTCCTGAGCAGCTAGCAGTAAGCCTACCCGCTGCATCCCGTAGCGGTGGCGGCGTGGGGACAGGCGGGGGGTCGGGTCGGGGTCAGGGTGGGGGTCGGTGCTGGACAGGGACAGGCTGTCCAGGCTGAGCAGCGTCACCTGGGCCTTCAGGCCCCCGAACAGCTGGCTGCAGTGCTGCAGGCTCCGCCTCCTCCAGCGCTGGCCGCCGTCGCCGTCCTTACTCACGCCGAACCAATCAGCCGTCCCCCTGCAACAGGACAGGCGCCGTCAGAACCACAACAAACATGTCTGTTAGCGCCACAAGAATTCAGATTTACATTTTAAAATGTAAAATATCCATGAACTGTTTTAGCTTCACTTATAAAAATGCTTTATATGTCAAACATGACTTAAGAGAACCAGCTGTTTGCCAATTGCTACTGGCTAGTCTGAAGGATCTAAGTGGGGGGAGGAGCTGAGACTCGAAGGCGGGGCTAAGTCAACTCAGGTGTTTTACCAGATGCTGACACCAGAAAGAAAACATCCAGAGAAACATGTCATTTAGTCTGAGTCCGGTTCAGAGGTTCTGGTTCAGAGGTTCTGGTTCAGAGGTTCTGGTTCAGAGGTTCTGGTTCAGAGGTTC